AACTCATGTTGTACCTGTTAAGTATGTTTATACTTACAAATTAAAAAATAGATGGGTACAAGATGGTAGTGATGTCACCAAGTTTCCTTAGGAGTACTAAACATGTGTTCACCAATTGATGTCCATGTGGTGTTGTAGGCTTCGTCAAGATAATAATATTATGTTTTGTTGTATATTAGTAAAGAATAAGTCTCTTTTTGATGGATTTTAAAATCTTTGCAATAAATGCATAGTATTTGGTATTGCCTCATTTTGTCTCTATACATGTGAATTGACTTACTAAGCACACATATGGTAAGAGTCTTGTTTCATCCTTAAAACTAGATTTATACTCTGCTGCGTTCTGCGTGAATTGCAAAAAATTTGGAACGAAATTAAGTGGAGATGACATGAATAGTTTGCATTAAGAAGTTGGAAGTTAGTAGAATGACATGGCTATTAGTGGGAGATAATCTGGATAATTAATGGGAAATGGTGTGGATGGCTTGCATGTTGAGATATAACTTGTAGTGGGGATTAGCTTTAAAACTAGACGATACTCTACGCGTTGCTGCGGGAATTGCAAAGAATTCAGAATGAAATTAAGTGGAGATGACATGAATAGTTTACATTAAAAAGTTGGGAGTTAGTGGAATGACACGGCTATTAGTAGGAGAGGATGTGAATAATTAATGGGAAATGGTGTGGATGGCTTGAATGTTGACATATAACTTGTAGTTGGGATTAGCTTTATGAGAGATATAGATTGGGTGTGACAACAAGCAATAAATCTCTCCTCATAAACTATCATAGGCCACAGTATGTGTACCTGAACCATTATAAACCTATGTTGTGTGTGCAACCCATCTAATCTACTGTGCATGATTCGTTGGATTAGTCATTGGAGGTCAAAACACTGACATGGTCTCCTAATCGAGCGATTGTTGGTCTATCGACAATCCAAAATAAAATATTCCTAACCGGATCTTGAAATCAGCTTGGCCAATTTGCTTAGTGTTGTGACATCAAGCGTCTTCGCGTGCTGCACATGATGTGCTCAAATATTGGGCGCATCTAGTTCCAACAGGTCTAGTTCAAAACTATCTTCTTATCCCCATGTGTGGTGGTTGCAGAAGGTGTGAGTTGCTAGTGTTGAGGACCACCAAGGCAAATAGTGGGAGGATGTGGCTCGGTAGTGTACGTTGCTTAGTGATGAATCAGTGTAGGTAAGGGATTGCAAAAAAATGTGGCGATCATACTAATATACTTGTGGCGATGGAGGTCATGGCAATGCTAGACAAAAGATTGATGTAGCTAATTGTCCTCAACCGACAGGCTACCCAAGATAGAAGGCAATGATGGTTCACGAGTGGATGCCATCGATCGAGATCAACCGAACGGGGGACAACCTAGACTAGGATGGATAGGAATGGGTGGGTTGTCATTGCAGCTCTTTCAACGACATGCTTGTGTGAACTAGTGGAAAAGACATCCCTTTGCAAACTATACTTTCATACCCTCACCTTGTTGGCCCCTTTCTACATCAATTGGGTTCTTATCTTCCTTTCATATTCATAGTTGGAGGGATATGCTAAGCCTACTACAAGAGCAAATGGTAGAGCTTATAGGGATAGGTCAAGCTCTCCAATAGTAGCAATAAAGGACACATTTTTTTAACAATGGTTGGCAGTGAGGGAGGGGCTTCCAAAGATCTACCTCTGTTCGATTAGACACCATTCCTGTATGTGATGATCATGTGTGGCATGCATCATTTGGGGGGAAGAGAAAGAGAGCTAGAGCTAGAGATAGAGATAGAGATAGATAGATAGATAGATAGATAGATAGAGAGAGAGAGAGAGAGAGAGAGCTTTTGGCTATTAGTTTTGGCATTAGCAATAGCAGAGTGTGATAATTAAAGAATGGAATAGGAATGAAACAGAAATGGCAATAAAAATTTTATTTAATGGGCAAGATTAAAGGGGAATAGATGGGTAGGGAATTGAGCCACAATTGAAAACAGATCTGGGAAGGGCCTCCGTCCTCTTCACGTCGCACCTCTTTGCCGCCGCCATCACCGCCGCCGCCGCCACCACCACCACCACCGTTGGTCAATTCCAATCTTGAATCCACAGACTTCTTGGTGATCATGGAGTTCTCTAGTGAGAGCATGAGCTCGCCTGCTTCCGGTACTTACTAAATATTGTTACCTCTCCTACTTTCATTATTTGCTTTGTTTAGAAATCTATCTCGTTGAAGGCCTTGTTCGTTAAATCCTTTCCCCATGGGCAAGGGATTTTATCTCCCAAATCCCGACCAGTTCCAAGGAAGGGATTAATCGAAGATTGAAATGGGATTATAATGAATCTATATAGATGCCAAGGGTTTTATGTATTACAGCGTTAGATACCTTGTGATTAGTTAACAAAAGAAGATATCATGTTTCCGTGAGATTTTATCCCCCAAATCTCGACTAGTCCCAAGGAATGGATTAATCAAAGATTGAAATGGGATTATAGTGAATATATACACATGCTAAAAGTTTTATTTATTAGAGCATTACATGCCTTGTGATTAGTTAACAAAAGAAGATACCATGTTTCCGTGTAAGTTGCCATTAGAAAACTTATGGATTAACACGTCAATTATATTACTTAGAGCAATGGTTTTACAAAAGGGCTTATTAGGTACATGTCATTACCATTTTGCATATTTTTTAAATGTTCCCCTACAAATTAAGATCAAAGTTGTAGACATATCATTGAGATTTACTTCTTATTCGAGATATGCCATAGGTTATGGTAGGATCACCATGAGCATATCTACTCTAAGAGGAAAAAGCACTATAATAAATGGGCACTTGCGTGGGCTCTGCCAGCAGATAGAAGAATGATTTTGTGGCCATGGAGCAATATTGAGCCATGCAAGAGGGGAAGAGGTTGGGGAAAAACTTTGTATTGGCATATTTTAATTCTAGAAAATTGTAATGGCAAGGATCTAATTAATCCTTTAACAAATAGGTTGAGAAGAATGATTGTATTTTCATGCAACTATTTTATAAGTATTGAGATTGCCTTTGTTTGTATAAGTGTGTATCTGTTGAGATGGTAGTAGCACAGATAAAGTGGCATGTAATTATGTGCCTGGGATGAAAAAAAATTCCTATTTTGATTGACCCATTTCTATGGTGTTCTCACTCAAAAGAGAAGACATGAGATAGTATAATGACGGCATATTTGTGCAATTTTTTTAGTACAAGAGTTTGTTTATTTCGGCATTCATGTCTCTAGTAGGGCCTGTTTTGAATGTGTTGGGTTTTCCCCAAAATAATTTCTATATTTGGACTCATATCTATTTACATAAGTGCACCTATTTTATTCTGTGGCCCTATTGGGAGAGCTTCTAGCAGCTTTTACTTCTCCAAAAATCTTGAAAAGCTAGAAGCTCCCCAAACAGGGTAGCTTCTTGAAGCTGACAAAAGTTCCAAAAGCTATATTTTACTCTAAAAGCAGAGAAGCTCCCTCATAGCAGCTTACTGAGCTTTTACAGAAAGCTTCTCCAGGCGGAGGAGCTTTTGGGAAAGCTACAGCTCCCCAAGCAGAGCCTATATCAAAGCTAGCAGATCTGGTGCTAAACTTGATGACACATCAGCTTGTGCCAGAATATATTATTGTTGAATCGCCTTGATGCTGAGCTGCATGTTGTGTGGACAAAATTCAATTGCATCAACGGGTAGAAAACCTTGTAGGTACCAAATGCAATGCACTTTATTCACAAGTTTCATTTACATGCTGGTGAGCAATCTCATACAAGTTTATTTATTCACAGTTTGGCACCTTGTGGATGATCTATTTCATAGTTTTATTGGAAATGTAGGTTTATTTCCATTTCTTAAAATAGGTATCGCATTGGTTTAGTTCAAAAATTATAACTAAAAATTGTCCAATCTGTACAAAATCTACATACCTCTTTTGGTTCTTGAAAGTCAGCCCGGATGTTGAGAAAGTTGGCACATGCCAATTTTGCTCTATGCTATGTTTTGGACTGTTTTGATCCAAATTTATCATATGGATATAAAAAATTTTATCATAAATTATTATTATTTTCCATGAATGCATGGCCATCTTCAGAAAATAAGCTTATATGGTCTCGTAGCCCATCATTTTTGTTCAAAAAGATTTGTACAGTATATATTATTTCTCTCCTTGCTTCACAACCATCAAGGCTATTGTGTAGACATCACTATCAATAATCAAAATCACAGGCTAACTGTGGTCCTTCATGTATTTTTACATTATTACTTTGATATATCATTTTTCCAACAGTTCTGTTTTTGAATCTTGATATAGAGAGTTGCTATTAACATATAATTTTTGGGCCATGCCATTTTTTGAAAGGCATTCATCTTTTGCCTTGTTAGAGGTTGATCCACATTATGATAGGGGGAAATAGTGTTGTCAGCTGTTAGTTGTTACCCTTCAAAACACAATAAGGCAACGTACAGCCAGACACTTGGAAATACAAGCGTCACGGTATCTGTCTGGATCTAAGAAGCATCGTGTAATTGTACACATAATCTTATATTTTTATCAATAGCACTGATAGATATTGGAACAAAATATGGAACTTTTGTTCCCCAAAACTGTATCTTCGTGAAATCAATGACATTACTGAACTATATTAAAGTCACAGTGAAAATTGGTTTCATTTGTACTGTGCACTATGTCTTATGTGGAATGATTTGAAGGAAGCAAAAAGTCTACTTCTGTAGTTAGCTCCAGTGTATTCTCTAATAGCATAAATTTGTTGTTTTGGACCCTTTTCTCATATCAGTATGTTTTTACAATGTTTAGTTCATCTAACATCATTACCTTAGCTGTCTAGCAAGAGACTGCATAGACATACATTGCAATTCAGCTAATATAATCCATTCATACTGTATTTTAACAAATAACCTATTTACTCCATACAAGAAACTGAAAGTAAACACATAATGTTTTCTTTGACTACCAGGAACACCAGAGATGGCAGCCTCAAATTCTGCAGTGACATCTATTGGCCAGAGTCAAAAGGTGCCTGGTTTTGCCAAGCTTCAGGGTGAAAATTTTGTGTACTTTATACAAACTTATTCAGTCATCTTGGGGCGCAACACTGAAAGCTATACTGTAGACTTTGATCTCTCAAAATATGAATGCGGAAGCCAACGAGTTTCCCGTTGCCATGCATGTATATTCTATGACTTTAAACTCCACCATTTTGCCATTAAAGTCATTGGAAGAAATGGATGCACCATTCGGGAGGTCTCTTATCTCCCAGGTAGTGTCCCTATTAAATTGAATTCTCAGGACCTCATTGAGATTGCTGGAATAAAATTCTACTTTCTCCTACCATCTCGCTCCATCTTTGCCACTCTTGCTGCTCGGGATACTACTTCGTTGCCTCCACAATCTTCATCCCTTTTGCACCCTGCTGATTACCCTGGGCATCGAAATGCTAATGATTTTGGCCATAGCAATGGTGAGAATGGGGCCAAAATAATCAATGACAGGCAAGGAAAGTTGGTGAAACAAAACAGGAGTTTTTCTGGAGAATTGGAGATATCTAACTGCTATGTCATCAGTAATGCTGACCCCATTGGAACGCTTGATGGATGCGGTACGCTATCTCTGCTATAGTCTTATGCTAGATCCATTTTTCTCCTTTTTTCCTACATTCTAGCATACTAACAGAAAGTGTGGAATCACAAAATGATTTTATCCACATGGTTTATTTGCCAAATAATTCAAGTATACCTTGACTGCTATATTGATTGTTGGCAGGCATTTCCTCTCTTTTTTTATGCTTTGCAATAATGTACATTTGCCAGTGCAGGCTTGTCTTATTTTTTAATTATAGATGTCAAAAATTGTTTAATTACTAAGAATGAATATTGATAATGGGAAGGCTTCCTTTTTGTTGGCCACAAAATATGAATATGCTGTAATTAGTTTTGAACCAAGTGTAACGTGAATGACTTTTCCTATGCCTTTTTTTTTGGAGGGGGCAGGAAGGATTGCCCCCCTACTGAGAGAAAACATCAAAACCAAAAGTAGCAAGATACAAGAAAAAATGAAACAAGAAAGAGATTGCACAAATGCATCTAGTCATAACTCAAAAAAAGGAAAATATGACTTCTTTGCCCAATTAATAACGAAAAGAAAATTCCTTCTTGAAGATTGCAGTACTCACCCAAAGGAGCATTATCCTACTGACCTGCTCTCATACAAAATTTTTATTTGTGTATCCCTAACTAGTTTTATTTATGCAGTCAGCAAGCTAGATATACAAAGTGCAGAGAAAGAAATAGACAATCAACAGCTCCTACTAGAAGAAGAGAAGGTTGTAGCGACGTGTCTTGCAGCCCTGATATCTGACCTATCTGGTCCTAAAGGATGGGTGCCTATGGAAAAACTCCATTCAGAGGTTTGTCATGGAAGAAAAATCTATTTTTTGTAGAAATTCTGGATTTTTTTTATCATGCATTGATACAATACAAAACAACATGGAAATATGTTGGCATATTTAATTTGACATTATTATGAACTGTTGTATTATCAATCATTACTCGATCAATGGTAAACTAAATTCAAGACTTGGCTTTGTCTTGCAAATATGTTAGATGCTGCACAATATCGTAAAAAAATTGTCCTTTTGTCTTGGTTAGTTGTTGCAGTGGCTGCCATAGTGTGGTAATGGTTTCTAGGCAATATTTATTATCTGCAATATAGTGGTGACTATAGTGACGGTTGCAGTGTTGCAAACCCATATGTGCAAAATTATACAAAATAAAATATACATCTATTCTTCATTGGGGGTGATAGTAGAATGGCTCTCTCTATATACATTAACAATTTGAAGTTTTGGGTATATTTTAAGATCTCAATATTGTTGAATGTGGTATCCAATATTATCCTGCCATCTACTCTTGAAACTTTGGTCACAACAACAGTACTATGATTATATGATTCTTTTACAATGTACAATAATTGTTTCTAACATGGTATGGCATGTGAAAGTATTCTAAAGTTTTTTTAAAAGAATACTAACCCTTGATTACCTGCAGCTTTTTGAACGCTTTGGTAAGAATTGGCCCCATGACAGGGTCAGCAGGTACTTACCACAAAAGGGCATGTCAGGCTCTTCAACTGAAGCAGATGGTAGGCCATGGTGCAGCCTGTGGACGCTATTCAAGAAGTACCCGGAGCATTTTGTCATGAGCACAGTGACAAGAGGACAAGCAATATCAGAGTTTGTTGGCTTGGTACATCTGGTTTCTGTGGAAAATGAATCATGAATCCAAGAATCATTCTTAGCATTCTGAGGATTCTCAAGCCATCGTTATCCTATATGATCTAAAAAAACTAGGACATACTATTGTTAGCATTTGAAATCTGAAATTCATATTGCAGAGGCTATGTTGTATTGTAAACCTATATATGCACCTTTGATGTGGTACCTTTAGGATTGATCTATGCACACTTCAGTGCTAGAGTTTGGAAAGTTTGCTTTTGAAAGTGTTGTATCTGTTGGGACAATATGAATTATTAGTGTATTCTTTCACTTTAGATCTGTGGTCATGTTTTTTTTATTTCTGTCGCTGCATATTGCAAGATAAAAGGGGTTGCCAACGCTAAGAGATGCATTGACCACTGACATTGTTGGAAATATTTTTGCTATATCATATTATTCATGACATGGTCCTATATTTTTTTAGAATGTAATTTGTACAAAGATGATATTGCATCTCATTAGCATCCCACGTGGATAGCAAAACATTGTAAATGGAAAAAAAGAGACACACATAGATATACCGCCAATGAGTGTGACAAGCCAGGACTGTTACATGTTGTTCCAAGGTTATGAATACATCACAAAATTGTGGTACAATCAACTCTCAGAGGATGCTATGCAAGCCATAAAAAGCAAAAATGGAGAGTAGAATACAGCTTGAGGAAAAAACTGACAATCATTATTACAGTTAGAAAAAACTACCTGTGGGGTAAAACAACCTTGAGCATTTTGCTAAGAAGAAAGCCCCTGAATCCCTACACCATCTATACACACTGATACCGTAGCCCATGTGAGAACAACCATGACATGGGCCATACCTTTGACCTGTGTTTTGGCACGTGACAAATGAGGGTATTTTTTTTTAACTTCAGCTTAAAATTTGCTCCCACGGAGCATCGACTAGAGCCACCTAACCAACCCTGCTAGAGGCTCATTTGTTTATTACATGCTCCCCAATAATAATAACCATAAAATACATGATAGAATGACTAGGATACTTTTCTAGCCAGTCTAGGAGAATAAAATGTGTACTGTCTGCTAGTAGCACGATCACATAACTAACTTGGCTAACTCTCCAAGGAAAGCGTGAGCGTGCTCCTCCTTGACCAAGGCCGACAGAACACTGACCCCATCTTCCTCGTTGCACAAGAAGCCCACCGCAGCGGCAATGGCGGCATGTCTTGCAGGTCACTCAGCTTGCTCACCTATCATCACTTCTGCATTTCCCTTCAACCGGTCAGGTATTTGCTCCTTGGCACGCCTGATCATGTCGACCACGTCCACGACGTCCGCGTTCGCCACTGCTCGGCTGGTCGTCAGGACCACCTGCTCGACGATGCAGTTGCCGTAGTAGCCTCTCTTCACACCCACATGCTTGTGCACGCTAGCTAGAAACACGAGCAGGACTGGGGTCTCGGGGTCCAGCCGGATCGCACATGTGCGGCACTGCCAGTACAGGACGTGGTGCACGGCCGGACACTGAACCTGCTGCTAAAGTCAGCTCTGATGCGGTTCACCAATCTCAAGGGGACGGTGATGTTGAGAACAGCAAGGCCGTCGTTCACCGGATCCATGCTCAGCAGATGCTCTTGTGCTTGGAGGACGGAGGGAGGGAGGCTCGGGACTGTGTCGTCCCACCTGGCCGGAGCCACCGACGGCGATGGCATCCCAGTGGCGAGCTCGCCGACGGCCTGCAGGAACTGCGCCATCCCGGCGCCGTCGGCGACGCCATGGTTCCAGGTCACCCCGAGAGCGAAACCGCCGCACGAGAACTCCATCGCCTGCACCAGCAGCAAGAGCGCACTTGGGCCGCCGCAGGGCAAGTCAGCTGGATAGTACACAGCAAGTTCGTCTAGAAGCTTCCTTGAGCCGGGTGACCGGTGCAAGCATATGACCACCTTCACGGCGAGGTCGGTGGATGCGGCTACAAACGCCACGCCCTCGCGGCCACACTTGATGTAGACGTCGTCGTCGTCACTGTCGTCTCCGGCGACAATTCGACCGGCGAAAGGGTAGTAGTGGACCAGTGCACGGGACAATGCGCTGCGTATGGTCTCGGCACTCAGCAGCGTTGTGGATTGGATAATTGAACACAAGCAATGTTGTGGCTGACACCTTGCATTGTACAGACCCTTGACAAAGGACGAGAGTTTTATGGTGCCCCTCGACATTGCCGGCTCCGGATCCGAAGGTGGCCTGACGACCATGGCCCATGGGTGAGCACTTTCTCACCGTCATGCTCATTGCTCTTTGGGTAGTGGTGATGTATACAGTGATGGTGGATCTTGGCCACCACCTGTCCACCTTCTCTGGCTTAAATATTGGTGGGAGTGAAGTTGTGAAGAAGATGTCACTGTCTTACTACTATGCAAAGTCAAACATCTTGGCACCATCCTTCGATTGAAATAAAACTAACAACCAGTTGGTAAAAGCATATTCCTGCTCATACTAACATCTTGCTATTACAAGTAGAGGTTTAGATGAGGCTCCACGTTAATCCTAATCCTTCCGATAAGTTTTTTTTATCAGTACCCTTACGAGATGCGGTAATGCTATGATTAGGGCGTCCGTCCAGACGGGTGCATCCGGACGGCCCTGTTCCTGGGTGTGTAGCGATCGGGCACAACACGCAATCGGCCTTCTTCCCTCTACGCTTTTTCCTCCATCTCTACCCCGTGACACAATCCCATCGACATAAATCCACATTCGCTTTCGCTCGTCGCGGCTTCACCGCATCGGACGCCCGCCACACTCCACCTCGCCGCTGCGCGCCACATCTGCCACCATGCCGCGCCAACTCCTCCTACAGAACCTCGTCGGCGCCCGGCCCACTCCGCATCACCGTTGCTCGCCACGTCTGCTGCCACGCCGCGCCCACTCCTACAAAACCTTGTCGATGCCGGCATATGGTCAACGAGTCAGACGTCTTCGGCGGCGTGGGGGATGACAGCGACGACTTCCTCTGGGCGCTCAACAATGCGGACCTCCCTGGCAGGGACCTCAACCTCGGTGTGTGGAAGCTCTTGGCCGTCGCGGCGCTCTCCTTCGGCAGCGTGGCCGCGTTGCTCGGTTACCTCGTCCAAGCAGCAAGGTGACATTACGTAGCACATGTTGCAAGCTTGTGTTTCAAGTGTTTTAGATGTTTCATCTGGATGTTGCAAGTGTTTCATCTTGATGTTGCAAAAGTAGATCGTGATGTTACACATGTTACAATGGCCATATATGTATGTTTCAAGTGTTTGTTCTAAATGTTTCATCTGTTTTACAGATGTTCATTGTAAGTGTTTCATCTGGATGTTGCATAGTTCCATACGTATGTTGCAAGTGTTTTATCTGGTTGTTACATATGTTTGCAATGGGTTTTTTCAAGAGTTTTCAAGTGTTTTGCAAGTGTTTCAAACACATATTGAAAATGTTTCAGCTATTTCATACGTATGTTGCAAGTGTTTTATCTGAATATTTCAAAAATAGATCGGGATGTTGAACATCATGTTGCAATGTGACCACCCTGGCACAACCCCTTGCTACAGCTGCTTGGGCGTCATGCATGCTCGTGGGGAGTAGAGGGATGGAGTGCTGCTCGGCAGCGGGCGAGGAAAGTGGATGGCGATGGCGCCAGGGGCGCAGGTGTCCCCACGCAGCATGCACGGGCGGCAAGCATAGGGGGCGCGGGCAATCCGGACAGAGGCACGAAGTGGGGGCGCAGTTTCCTGGGAGCAGCAGCGTCAAGCGCAGAAACGGACTGCAGCCACGGCCGTCCGGACGCGTTCATCCATTTGGACGTCCGGGCGCTAGCAGTGTCGTACGGGAAGTGATAGAATAAAACTCAAGTCCTAGAATTTCCAAAAGATTAGAAACAACTAGCCTTTAATTTAGTAAACAATAATCATCACATAATGCAACTATTTCTAGTGGTGGGGCTCTTAAGAGTGTCACCTCTATTAACTCAATTTCTAGAGGGGAATCCTAGCAATACCCACCTCTGGTAATAACAAATTTTAGAGTCGGACATCTTAACAAGTCCGCCTTTCTTAATAAATTAATAGAGGTGGGCATCCTAAGATGATGAACTCTGGAAATAATCGACTAAAGAGGTGGTGATGCCCGTCTCTAGAAATGGTTAACAAAGGTGGATATTTGCATGATATTTGGCTGACCATTTATTGAGCTGACTAAGATGCCCGCCTTTGTTAATTAGGGAGTTTATCTCTTGAAATACTATTTATAGTAGTGCATCTAGATCTAGATCTAGATCAAAACTATTCACCAATCATGGGGTAGTCACAGCATCCATACTTATGAATTTGATGATATATAATTGAAAAAAACAAGTGAAGCTACTCAATTCAACAATTTTTGGATAATATGGTGTCAAAAATAGCGAAAAGACATTCGTTCTTTGTACAGACCATGAAAAAAAACTAGCTGACCAGCTCCAATTAAGCCACAAATTATGGAGAGAATTCTAAAAAGACATTGGTTAGCCATAAACTTACCTCTTAAGCAATTCTCTTGAAGAAATGAATATCAAACCCCTTCCCTTCCCTTATATTTGGCAATTCTCTCCAGGAAATGAATATCAAGGAGTCAAACATTTAAAGATGGCTTGACCTGGAAGCTAGTATATGTTAGGGAAGAAGCAATTTATATAGAAATAGTGTTGTTAGCTGGTTGTACCAACCTTTAGTGTAACACATTTGTCCTGGCGTTCACATAACCATGCCGCTAGTATAAATAGGTCTATCTCTACTAGCGACTGGCGTAGATACCGGCGGTTTGACCGGGTGACAATAGTTGTCGTAAGTTGTACGAGTACCACGAATGCAGTTGAAAGGCTTCACCAAATTCAGCTCCTTTTGTCCCCCGTTGCATGAGCTAGAGGTCTAGAGCTATAAGAACAGTCTTAGGGCCCGTTTCCTAGAGCTCTAGCTCTGAGATCTATGTTCACTACTGGAAACAGAGACTTTGCCGAATGCAAAATTCTTTGCCGAGTGTCAAAAATCA